GGTTTCGAACGGGCGCCAAGGGGATGCGCAAACCATCGTGGTGTTGACCGAGGAAGACTGCTTTTGACGGCGGTCTGCGTGCCTCGGTTATATTTACAGGTATTTCAGTTTATTTCATCGTTCGAGGAACTCCTCTGAATCTTCCTTTGGCAGTAGAGTTGGCTTTGAATTCTACTCTGGTTTTCAGTTTCTTTTTGCGAGTAAATGTTTTGTGCAAGCAGGCTCGGCGGAGAATGGAAGCCAACCTTTGGAATTTGTAAATTATAGTTAATGCAAGTGGCTATATAGCATGGGATTTTATGGAGAGTGAAATAATAGGTGACGCAATATTTTTGAAAAATTCTTGTTAGGTTGTGATTATTATTTAGCCGGCAGCTGGTTATTAAATTCAGCATAAGGTTCAATTAATATTCTTGTAGGATTTAAGAGCCACTACAGGGTCCACTAACCTCATATGATTGGGACCTTATTTAAGTCCACAATTATCATTTTAGTGGGACCTTTTTTAAGTCCATGATTATCATTTTGGCGAGGCCGTTGTGGACTATCGAGGTAATTTAGACCTAGAGGATCCTTTGCCCACCAGAGTGTCAGGTAGGAAATTTTGGGGGGCGGCAAGGTTCTGGTGCAAAGCATCGGGATAATATATAGCTTGAGGTAGTGGCAGAGTTGGGTAATGATTACTAAGAGATGTGAAAGAATGATTCAAACCAAGTTCTTCAATAGACCAATTCGGTAACGCCTAGCAACCGCCCCTAGCAACAAGCACTTGGTGAAAACAAACCCTCTTTCATTGGAAAACTCACTGCACTTTGCTTACAGAGTCCCTGAATTTTCCCAAGACTTTATTTTTTTGTGGGAAAATGCCAATGAGCTATGTTGCCGTAGGTTGTTCGAACGACAACATGATGGGAAAGAAACGTTTAATCCTTCCTATATTTCCAGATTTCGGAAAAGCTGAAAAATGGAAGCGATGGGTATAGGTCATGAAACGTTCGAGCGCTGACTGGAGTGCTTGGGCGCCTGGTGGAAACTATGTTTACATCTGCTCAGAACAGTTTATTACATATTAATATTTTACACCTTTTCAAATTCTAGAGACAGATAATCACTTTCAAACTCAATCTATCTACACTATCTGCCAAGGCCAAACAAGGTCAACATTGCTGACATTATGTTTGGCAGCAGTCCAAAAAGCACAACAGTAATTTTACATTTTTTATGTAATGAATTGATTTATCATAATTTCAGTTTACAGGCAAACCATCCCCGGATCCAACTCGTCCAGACTTTATCCCAAAGACTGTCCTTTTGATGAAAACAAAGCAGGCATTCTGTTAAAATGATTTGAAAATAGGAAAAAATGAAGCCTAGCTAAGGAGATACCAAGCATTCAGAAGAAATAAAAATTTTGTGTTGCTTCTTCATCTGAAATGTGATATGAAACAACTGAAGAGGGCCTATCTCAAATTATTGAGGAGAGAGAAAAATGCATTGTGCTCATGTAGGCCTTTACATGACTTCACTGTTGTTTTTGTAGAAACATCTTTTAAATGGGTAGAAAATTGATGTTAGGAAATGGCACTGATTTCAGAAGAATAACCTGTATAGCTAAAAATCATAGATTACTGTAGCAAATTGTTATTAAATCATTCTGTTACATGGTGGGTTGATCAAATAGTCTTAGATGTCGGGATATTCAATATTAGCTGATTTCGAAGGATCGTCAATCCCAATTTTGGCAGGCAGATGGTATGGGCACTTATTTAGCTGCACAGTTACTAGTTTTGCTCCATAACGCTTTTTTGCTTCAGTTTTGAAAGAATTAAAAATTCATGCGCCATTTTTGCTTACGCTGATAGTGAGGTATCCGCGAGTGATGGGTTTGTTTTCACCAAGTGGAATGGCTACTCCGACTCATGTCACACCTAATCGGTCTATGGCAGTATATGTGCAATTCTTTATGGTATGGCCAGGTTGGTATAGGTTACTTATGGCGATGCACACAGATGGACGGAAATGGACACCGCAATCTTATAGAACGGAAGAAATTAAATAGATATGACATATTTTAAGCTGCATCGAACTCATATTAACTGCTAAATGATGAAAAAATACCCTGCATATGACTGCTCAGATTGTAAGTTGCTCATCTTGTTTACCTTGCCAGAAATAACACAACACTGACCACATAACTCGTTACTGTGATATCCCAAGTAGTTCATGTGTTAATATGTGCTTATCAAGACAATATTTAGCTAATTATCAGTGTCTGCTGTTACACATTTATGCATTTAAAGTCTTTCATTAATGTTATTATGCTTCATTTACGTATTTTAAGATTAATTTATACACTTATTTAGAATTATCTTTGAGGTTTGACTGTGACAGGTGGCCAGTGAGAAATCTTGTGTTTCCAGTGTTGTATTGATTTTGGGTTATTCTTAACCCCTTCAACCTGAATGATGTTGTGGTCACATCAAGGGAAAACTTGGGCAGCTGCCTTGGTGACATGAACATGCCGTCAACCAGGCAAATTGACCACGGTCCGGGTGACGCGAACTGCCGTCATGAGCGAAGGCCAGGGTGACGGAAAAGACTCGCCACAAGTGCTTAAATCTCTTGGAGTGTGTTTTAACTCATTTGGTGCTTAAAAGGTGGCTTTAGCATTATTCCCATAGATAAATGAATGTGGAATGTAATGTGCGTAAGCAGTGACTGGAAGAGAGCCGGCTCAAGGGAGGATACCATTTCCATGACATATAGCCAAATGTCCCCCCCCCCCCTTTTTTTTTCCCCTTTACTACATAGAGATGATAAGGAGTCTGTGGAAGGAAAATAAGTATTTATCATCTGGATAAAGAAAATCAAAAGACAAATATGGTCATTGGACACTGGCGATAAAGCTAAAAAAAATTACACAAAACTTTTCAAACGGTTAAGCACAGTCTTGTCACCATTCATGGGTGTTCATGTGGATGTTTGCCACTTATGTAACCCATTACCTGCCCAGAACAATACGAATATCTTACCAAGGACAACTGTCCGACAGATTTCATGTCGAGTTTACAAACATTGGTAGGGGCATAAACAGTAACAAGAAAAATGAAGCCAAATGCAAGCATTACCATTATAGCTCATTGACTGGAGTAACCTGTACTACTGAGTGCTGAAGTCTGCTGGAAATGACTATGGCTACTTTAGCCTTGGGCAGTCACTCCGGGTGGACGCTGCCTCTGCTACCCCTGCTGATGATACCCCCTAAAATTAGGGGTGGCTGACTGCAGGTCCCCTAATCCACCTGTGATTTATGTTCAGTCATGATGAATGTGCTGTGTGGTTGTTTGCAGTTACTTCCAAAAAGTTGTTAATATTTATTTGTATTTTCATATTATATGAGATGTTAGCTTTAGCTTTGTTTCCCTGTGTATTCTAATGATCCTGCTTCTTAACCACTTCCCTCCAGGTGGCATTATTTATAGATATGCCATGACTGTTGTGGACCATTTAGAGGATGGCATTGCAGCATGACCATTCCTGCGCAGTTGAATCATTAGATAGAACTTGTTTTTCTCCGATAGTAGTGATATCATTTCTATGGTGAAACTTTTAGGCAATAGCACCTTAATTGAAGATCAACCTTCACTTATTATTATTATTATTATTATTATTATTATTATAAATATATATATATTATATATATATATATATATATATATATATAATATATATATATATATATATATAATTTTTTTATGATAACAATATAAGCTTTTAGGTGCCTAATGTTGCCCATGAACTACCAAACGAGCTGGGTGCAAACTGGGGAAACTATCGATGCATGCCAACAATCCTGCGTCAATGGCCACTAGCCAAATTTTTAATCCGGTTTTAATGCATTTATAAAGGAATAATTTGAATGCAAGAAGTCTACTATATGTAAATGTTTTGATATTGGAGAGTCCAGGATATCTCTAAGCGACAGTTTTATCATATGGGAGACTTTTAATTTATTTATTAGTCTTTAGACTTTGTTTATTATAGATAGAGCAGGAAAACCATGTTCACTGTGTTCTCATATCTTTGTTCTAGGTTTCAAGATGGAGCATAGGGTGCGGTGCTTCTTCGACATAGAAGTTGATGGCATTCCATCTGGCCGAGTCATCTTTGAGCTCTTCAGTGAAGAATGTCCTAAGACATGTGAAAATTTTCGAGCCCTTTGTACGGGTGAGTTATTACGGTCTTTTGTTATTTGATATTTATAGAATTGGGACAATTAGTTAGATATTGACATGTTAGATGTTCAGTAGCTTTGTATTTTATTTCATATTTTCTTCTAAAATCTATTTGGTCTACCTAGATGGATGATACAGAATCTGTGCAGTGAAAGCAGTCTCTTACCATCTAGATAAAGGAAATCAAATAATGAATATGTACATTACAAAATAGCATTAAAGCTAAAAATTCCTATGGCTAAAAAGAGAAAATAACATTACAGAGGGGAAGCATAGCCTTGTCACTGTACATGTACATGTACATGTACAAGCCTAATGTTCGTATTTTGGTCCATGTGATTGCTGTGAAGCAACTGGAGCCAAGGGATTAAGAAAGTAGTTTGGTAGATTTTTTATTATGTAGATATGATAGTCTGCATAGGATGTAGTAAATGGACTATAAAGGGCCATGATTAAAAAGCTAGATATTTTGTCTACTCTAGATTTTTTTTTAATTCAGGTGAGATGGGATTGGGTAAGACCACCAACAAACCACTTCATTATCGAGGGGTAAAGTTTCACAGAGTGATTAAGGACTTCATGATCCAGGCTGGAGACTTCTCAGCTGGAAATGGCACAGGTGGCGAGTCTATATATGGTGGACATTTTGAAGGTAAGGAAAAGTAAAGGAAAAGAAAAATAGGGAAGAAAGAAAATATTTTCTTTTTTTGTAAACCTGTATATGATTTACATTAAAATATGAGAGCCAGTAAGATGTAAAACTATGTAGAATTTGGCAAATAACTGAAACCATTGCTAGAAACAGTTAATGCATACAGTGCAAACATACTAATTTACAGATGAAAGCTTTAAACTGCAGCATGATATACCGTTTCTACTGTCCATGGCTAACCGTGGGAAAGACACAAATGGTTCACAGTTTTTCGTGTAAGTACTGTCTGTTTTGCTTATTGTGCATAGATGCTCGTAGATGCCAGTGGATGGTGAGAGTATTTTAAATTTGTTTGAATGAGATGAAAGCATTCTTAAGTGAAGAGATTTATGATTTGATTTCTATGCCAGTTAAGAAGATAGTAGATTATTTGCACTTTTATTTCTTGCTTTACTTTTTCAGAAAAGTCCAGGATGTAATGGCAAACACCATCCTAAATTTTGACTTTAGCCATCCTAAGTTTTGATATTTTATTAACCTCTACTTTTGAACATTTATAGAGATCTGTCTTAACCTTTTTACTTTAATGTGAAAGTGATCTGTTTATTTTTAATCAGTTCTGTTGCCTATACTTTTATGCTAGATTTTTATTGCATTTATTTTTGGTAGTTCTTCATATTTTTCATGCCAGATTTATTGATACTGATACAGAAAACAATGGAGTATTTAGTTTACTTTGTATTTGAAACTTGGAAAACATGCTGAAACTATGATTGTTATTTTACATATTGCAGACAGTTGTCTTTATTAGAAATTGTTTAAAATGGTGTTAATGTAAAACAGGAGGCTTAAGATATGAAACTGATGGTTTTCCGTCAATTCATTGTTTTAGTAATGAATATTAAGGTAAGGGTCAAGACGAAATATCTTATGAATTGTAAAAGTAATTTAGTATTTCTTTTACTTATTATTGTTTATTTTGTTCTCATATTTTTACAGATATGATTATGGAAGTGCAGATCCAGTTAGTGAATATCAGTAATGTTTTATTTCAGATATTACTGCAGTAGTTCATTATTTTCTGTTGATTTTCTTTCTTTCCTTTTCTTTTTTTAAATTTATATGTATTTTCCGTTGTCACTGAACTTATTCGTAGACCACAACAGTTGTTTTTTCCATGAAAAAAAATAAAAAGACAGGAAATTTTACTTCTCTGTCACTCTTGCCATGACATGGCTTCAACAAGTCTTCACAGTCTGGACAAAAGCTGTCTTCCAAGCTGCACACACAACCATGATAAGTAATGGTACGTTCTTCCCTACAGTCATCTAGCAAGACAGCGGCAACCGGGTGCGGGGTGACTACCGCCCCATGCCACTGTCACTGTGTCAGACATTCACATTCTTCGTTATTCTACCGTAATGATCGTTTTGTCCTTCCTGTAGAACAACTCAACCCTCTTCGCATCTTGATGGGTAAGTACAGTACGAAGTGAAAACTCTTTGTTATTATTCCAACATTGATTCAAAGAATATTTTTCTGTGTTTTTGAACTGTTGAGTTTAATGTGAAAGGTATATCCATTGAACATGGAAGATATTGTAAATAAAATTTTATGATATACCTTGTCCTCTCATAGGAAGCACGTCGTGTTCGGTCGAGTGGTGAGTGGAGAGGAGGTGGTGACTGCCATAGAGAACCTTCCCGTGGACAACCGCAGCCGGCCGCTCCAGCCTGCGGTGATAGCAAACTGTGGAGAGTTGATTCTCCAGCGATCAAGCAAAGTAAAAGGTCAGTGTCTTGTATGTACATTTTCTAGTAGTTTAGAAATGCTGTTTAGGGGTAGTAAAGTATTTCCTTGAATTAAGTTTGGTATATTATCTGTTCTGATATGGAGGTATTTCTTGTTATAGAAAAGAAAAGGAAGAAAAAGAAGGAGTCATCCTCATCCTCATCAGACTCAGATTCTGATGAAAAAAAGAAAAAGAAGAAGAAGAAAGAAAAGAAACAGAAGAAACATAAGAAAGCAGAAAGGTAAGTGTTTGATGAATGAATCAAGAAAAGCTTAATTAAAAAAGTTAAAGGATAACTATTTCTTGCTCTAATCTAACTGATTTTTTCCACTTTTCTAGAATTGCTTGAACTTGTGAGTTTTTACTGCTACTAGACAATCCATTTTAAGAAATGTTTATAGTTTGAAGTTCCCACATTTTCAATTACTTGACAATGAATACCTTAGAGGTAATGAATATAACAGTGAAGATAGATTACAAAAGTATGGTACAGCTTGGTCCCTGATAAACTGATTCAGTCGGTAGTAGAGTTATTGATGTTGATTGTGATGCATGTTTACCTATAGGTTTGGTTGAGCATATTTTTTTTCCTTTTGACTGACACGTCCATCAGTAATAAAAAGATTCATCAAATGTTTGGAAATTATTGTTTAATTATTTTTTTTGAAAACCTATAATTAATTAAAGTGCTCTTGAGAACTTGTAGTGGGTAAAAAAAGGAGGATTTTTGTTTAATTATTTTTTTTGAAAACCTATAATTAATTAAAGTGCTCTTGAGAACTTGTAGTTGCTAACTCACTGTCATCATTTTGGGGATGTTTGTAGCCCATCAAAGTTGATTTTCAAAATCATGTTTTCTTGGGGTTTTCTTTGTTTAGGATTATAATATTGTAAGAAAAGTTTAAGTGGATATCAGAGAAGATACAATTCTGTTTTGCATGATGGTATTTTCTTCAATTTTGATTATAGTGATATGTGTGGAAAGAGTTGCAGAAAGACATTTTCTGCATTTTTTATATATTGTAATATTTAGGTTTGATAAGGCTCTGCTTAGCATCCAAAGCCTACCTTATTTTTTCCAGAAGGGCTAAAGAAATCAGTGTTAATCAGTAAAGGAAAAAAACACAAATTTTGTATTTAGTAACCAGTCTATGGTTAACTTTACTATTTCCCAGCATGGGGCAACAGGTTTAGAGGGGTAAGGATGCTGGAGGTGGACTTCATAACACACAGTCCTAAACTTGAAACTTAAATCAACTCTGGGTTTCTGGATTTTGATAATCTCTGCCACCAATTGTTAACTGGGGACAGCCTTTACACATGCTGCATGTTATTTTTTAGCAAATAAGTAAATTATGTATCTAATCCCATCTAGGGCTAATATTTACAATCTTTTGTTTGTCAGTTTTGGGTTCAAGAAAGGATGAAGCAAAACTAGATTAAAATGGCTAAAAAGCCTTTAAAAAAATACAGTTGCAATCAAACAACAACCATAATCTAATGATATTTAAGTAAAGTTTAATTAGAACTGGGGAATTGAGATATAGAATGCCTAAGTATGATATAAGTTTATGAAATAAAAGATATTATTTTTGTTTGTTTTCAAGCAATACTGTTTGTATTAGTATAATTGATAGTGCAGGGATTGTATAATTTTTTTTTTTTTTTTTCATATTAACATTTATAAGTAATCTGTTCGTTTTCATATGTAACACATTGGATCTGGTTGCTCCACGGCAATCGCATTACTCAAAAAATGGGCATTAAGCTTACATGGGCAACCACTCAGATGGATGCATGGTTTATAGTCAAGGTGCATGCACACTTGTGTCAAGTGACAAGGCCCATTCCTCCCCTTTACAGTGTTATTTTCTCTTGCACGGACTCCATATCACCTATGTAGGTAGTCCAAACCTCAGTGCAAGAATAATGGTAATAAGTAACATTTTGTTATACGTGTTATTTAAATTTTTTTTCTTAACATTAATTTTCTGTTATACAACCTTTGCTGCCGGTCACATAAATGTAATCACCCTCCCAAGAGCTTTGTGCACTTGTGGCAAGTCTTCCCTGTTACCCCAGCCATCAGATGAAATGCTCACAATGGCATGTCCGCGTTCCCCTAGCCAGATTTTCCTCGTGATGGCAGGTTCATATCACCCGCCCTTGAACCAAATCTTCTTTTAATGTGATGGTCAAGTAAACTTTATTGTAGGGGTTAAGATATGCTGAGTGCATGTCAGTGAAATTGAAAATATATACGAACCCCTTTGATCCAGATGGAAATAGTGCAAGAGGCCATTCCTAAATGCCCACTGCATCTAGTCTTCTTCCAAGGCTCTTTGTGGTGGTATTCCCAAGTGAAATGGGTAACTTTTTATTGATATATATATAGTTAAATATACAGTTGATAAATGCAATTTGTCAGAACACTGCAAATACATAAAAAAAGTGTGTATGACCCCGCTACCTTCATAGAGGTTGTCCCAATTAAAAAAAGGAACACTGTAGTAAGTATTCAGGACCTCAAGTGGTAAAAAGATATGAACATTTGTTGTGGTAAGCATATGACCACAATTTCTCATTCTCTCTCTCATTCTCATTCTCTTATTCTCTCTCTCTCATTCTCATTTTTTTTCTCTCATTCTCATTTCTTCATTCTCTCTCTCATTCTCATTCTCATTCATTCTCCTCTCTCTCTCCTCTCTTCTCCTCTCTCTCTCTCTCTCTCTCTCTCTCTCTCTCTCTCTCTCTCTCTCTCTCTCTGCTCACTGTCTCTCCTCTCTCCTCTCCTCCTCTCATTTTTCTCTCATTTTCTCTCATTTTCTCATTCGTCTCATTGGTCTCTCTCTACTGTCATTCTCTCACATTATTTTCTTTTCTCTACCTTCTCAATTTCTCAGTCATTTTCGTTCTTTCTCATTTTCTCTCATCTCTGTCTCTTCTTCCCCTTCTCTCCGCCATTTCTCCATCATTCTGCTGATCTCTATTCATCTCCATCATTGCTCATTCATCGTTATCCTCTCTCTACCGTTGCGTCCGACTCCATTTTCGCTCTCTCTACCTCATTCATCTGCTCGTCAATTTCATCTTCTCTACCTCATTCCTTTCATTTCCTCTCCTGACCTTCATCATTTCATTTTCCTCCTCTCGTCCCGTATAATCCTCATTCCATTTCTCATCTCGCTTACCACGTCAATTCTCTCATTTTCTCTCTCAACTCTAACCCATTTCTCTTCTTCGGTTTCTCATTTTCCCACTTTTGCACCTCCCCCAAGTCTCTCTCTCTTCGTCCTTACCGAATCATTCTTCATTATTCCTTCTCTGCATCATCCTCTACCGCCACCTCATTCTCATTTTCCTTCTCTCTCTCTCACGTATCCTCATTCTCATATTTCTCTACCTCATTCTCATTTTCTCTCTCTGCCCTCATCTCATTTTTTTCTCTCATCTCTCCTCATTCTCATTTTCTCTCCTCTCTCTAACCTTCATTCCTCGCGTTTTCTCTCTCTCTCTACCTTATTCTCATTTTCTCTCTCTCTCTCTACATTAACCTCATTCTCATTTTCTCTCTCACCTCATTCTCTCAGATTTCTCTCTTCTCTATCCATCAATTCTCTCAGTTAATCTCTCTGCGTCTCGTACCCATCATTCTCTGTTTCTCTCTGCTCTATTCATCTCTCAGGTTTCTCTCTCTCCTACCATCATTCCTCATATTCCTTGTCAATTTTCTCTCTAACCGCTCATCTCTCACTCATTTTCGCCTCCCCTCTATACCGCTCATTCTCTCTTATTCTCAGTCATTTTCCTCTCATTCAATCCCGCCATAATTTCTCTCTATCGTACCAGTCATTCTCGGCGCATCTCTTCATTTTCTCTCTACCTCATTCTCCCAGGAACTGCGATTTTCTCTCTAACCAGGCCCATTCTCGCCGTTCATTTTCTCTCTTACCCTCATTCTCCCTCGATTTTTCGCTCTCTTCCGTCATTCTCGTCAATCGGTCTCCTCTCTACTCATTCTCCTCATCTCTCTCTCTCTCTCTCTCTCTCTAGCTCATCTCGCTCTCGTCTCTCTCTCTCTCTCTCTCTCTCTCTCTCTCTCTCTCTCTCTCTGTGCCATTTGATTATTAGTAATCATTTTATTTTTTGTATTTTAATCACTTTATTGTGTGCGTGTATAGGTAGGGGGATACAGAGGTGTGCATGTGTTTCTGATTGCATGTGTGTATTGTGCTTTATATGTATTTTTACCTGATTGGAATCTTTTTAAACTTGTAATCAATATTTTGTGATCTCCAGCTCTGATGAAGAAGGTGAAGTGAAGGAAGATGATATTAATGAGGAAGGTGATTCCAGCAAGTTACGCACCCATCCATTAGTGTCTGTCTCTGTCATTAACCCTGATGAAATCCCAGATGTCCCAAAAAACAGATTTTTATATCGTGCTGGGCCAGAGAAAGATGAGGAAGGCCGTATGGAGAGAGGCAGAGACAGGACAAGGGCTGCAGTTCGAGCTTACACAAAGAGTGGGCGCAAGGTTAAAGGGCGAGGGTCATTGGTAAGTGTTTAGTTGACTTTATTGTTTATTATTATTGCTATTATCATTATTATTATCAATTAAGGGTTGTTATTACCATCAATTGTTGTTGTTATTATTATTATTATTAATATTATTATTATTATTATGATGATGATGATGATCATTAACATTATTATTTTCATTAAGCAATTTCTTGTTTGGGAAACATTTTAGATATCATAAAGAAGGACTTTTGGCTTGATAACTTGGGCAAGTTATGCCAAATTAGTTAAAGGAATTTTACAGAAGCAGAGTTGGCAGAAATTAGTCATGGAATGTGGTAAACAGCCTAGCTCTGACATTCTTAACAAGGCTTGGTTGATTATTTACCTAAATCATTTCCATAGCGTTATCGCACACCTTCACGATCAAGGAGTCGTTCTCGGAGTGTTACACCACCTCACTGGCGTCAGGCACAGCGGCGCACCATCTCCTATGAACAACTGCAGGTGAGTGAATAAGATCATTTTATAAAAGTTTGTCGTGGGTAAGTTATTATCCTATTTATTTCAGGAGGGAATGTACACACAGCAACACACGCACGCACGCACGGCTTACTTGAGTGGCGACTCTCCTGGGTTTATGGCTGATAGACCCAGCCCATAGAAATGGAAAATGTCATCAGGAACAAACACTGAGACATGGAAAACAAATACATACATCAAGGAGACACTCCTGGAAAGTGGAATAGCAGTGTCCTATCTTCTAGAACCACATATCTTACCTATTACTGACATTAGCAATGCACTCTTCTCAGATGACACAGTGCTCTATTGGTGCTTGAGTTCCTGTTACTTGTGAAGCTTGTGTACTTGAGAAGTTCCGTTGACCTAGACAAAGACTGCACCACTTCCTTTGTTTCCATAGTATACATATTTTTATTGTAATTTCTATGAAGGGGAAATGAAGATGTGAGAGAGCGAGGCTGTAGTGGCTGCTACAGTGGCACTTAATACCTTTTTTTCTGCTTTAGTCTTACAATTTATATTAAACTGCTGTGTTTTGCACAAGTATATTCATTTCTAAGTTTGGCAAATATGGTCAAATGAGCTATTATTGCCTGAAATTGCCAAATATGATCTATCAAATATACACAACCTGAAATAGTTGCCTAATAGTTCACTTCCTAGTTAGAGTAATTTATTGAACACATAAAAGCACATAATTTTCATGTTAATTGTGCCTTATTCCTCATTCTACTGTCTAACAATTATATGCTAATACTTTTTCAGAAGAGGAAGGAAGACAAAATAAGAAGAGAAGAGGACCGTCAAGTACGGCAGCAGGAAAGGGAACAGGAAATTGAGGAGAGGAGGCGGAGGCGGGAGGAACGCCACCGAGAGAATGAGGGCCATGATGGCAGGAATCCAGATATGGGGAATCGCCCTGACACTTTTGGCCGGGATTTTGGAAGAGGAAACTGGCGAGAGAACCGTGACAAAATGAGGAGAGGTTTCCGTGATGGAAGAAATCCTCAAGGTTGGCGCAATGGGAGGGAGAGGACAAGAGGAGAACAGGACTGGCGTGAAGCGAGAGAAAGAACTCGCACAGAAGATGACTGGCGTGAAGGAAGGAATCGTGACCAGAGAGGAGACCGTGGAGATGATTATGGTCATAGAGGGGATCTGCGTGAGAAGATACGAAACCAGCGTGATAGATTTGTTCCAGGCCATGGGGATTCTGGTGAAAAGTAAGATGATAGATCTTTTTTATTTTAGGCTGTCGCATTTCTATGTACTGTTATTGTTATCCATCGGCCTTAATCACCTGCACCACATTATTTTTCTTCAAAAGTCCATCCTCTGTTTTCTTAGTAAGGTCAATTATTATTGACCTTATGATTGTTTAACATTGTCACCCATTGCCAGGGGGTTGAAGTTGTTTCTTTGAGCAAGGTGCTTAACACACTTACGACAGGTGTCCCACATATGAGACACACGGAAAAGTAAACATTACCGAGTGTCCCGCAGGTGCGACACTAGATCAGAGCTTGCGCTCTGATTTTTTCGCCCGTGGTGGGTGGCGCATGGGCTGGTTCCCGGACTTGCCCGCATTAGTTTCTTGCATTAGGCAGTAGGATTATTGACATTAGATATAGCGTGTTCATAGATGTGAGACCACAAGTAAAAGGTTAATTTATTAGATAATCAGATGTAGAAGGATTTGCACGTATATGATACTTGTATGTACATAAGTATGATTATTGCTGAGATAGTTCTTTTGCCCACAGCAACCAGTCTCAGAAAAGAGAAGAGCAGTCTGATGAAGAGACAGGGTCAAAATCACAGAGAGAAGGTAAGAGAATGATTTTGTTTGTAAAGTTTTACATTTGATTTCATTTATTCATTAGACATGGTGAATGTAAATAGAATGCAGGTCATGAACAGCACCTCTTAAATTCCTCTTCCATGTTAAACCACTCATGATATGTGCATAGCCATTCTGAACTGTGTGCTTGGACATAATAGAAATGAAGCTAAAAAATAGGCTGTATGCCTACTTCTGAGGGGCTGTTCCTCAATGACTGTAACTAGGGATAAACAAGTGAATATCTGCTTAGTGCTTATAACTTAGAGCAGGCTTGAATGTGCATGACATGGCAGGAATTCACCTGGCTTGAATTATGTTTTCACCCTGGCATAATAAGATGCCATCTAGTGTGAGTGGGTTAGATGCAAATAACTGTTCATCTTCTGAATTCTATTGAAGTTAAGATAACATTTTAGATTATTTTGGAGATCAGATAAAGTTTTTCAAGTTAAGATATTTCTCCATTGTTTATGATTAATAGTTTCTTATTTTATTCATTAATGTGAAGGTATAAAATGCATGTTTTATGATGGAGCTGTTTTCTTTACATATTTACAGACAAGGAGAAACAAAGAAGCAAGGACAAACAAGACGACTTGGATGAAACTGCCTTGGATTATGAAGCTATGGATAACGATGATGATGATGACGATGATGAAGGAGAACCAGCCAAGAAAAGCAATGGCACAGTGAATGAAGAAGAACCCAAAAGCCATGACCAATCTCCTGTTGCAAATGAAGATGCAGCAGCTGAGAAAGAAGAAGAAAAAAACACAGTAAAGGAGCAGAAGAAGGATGAAGCAAGTGACCGTAAGAAGGGGAGCAGGGATCGCAGTGGCAGGGCTCACTCTCATGAGCGAAGGGGCAGGGACCGCTCTAGGTCACGTGACAGAAGGCAGGACAGGTTCCGCAGCAGGAGGGACCGCTCCAGGGAGAGGCAGAACAGGCCCCGTGACAGACGGGGACGTTCAAGGGATAGGAACAGCCGCCGTGACCGGTCAAGGGATAGGTCGCGCAATAGGTCAAGGGACAAGTCACGAGACAGATCCCGAGACAGGTCAAGAGATAGGTCAAGAGATAGGTCAAGAGACAGGTCAAGAGACAGGTCAAAGGACAGGTCACGAGATAAGAGAGACAGGTCCCGCAGTAGAGATAAGACCAATGAGAGAAGGAGAAAGTACTCATCAGGAAGTGACAGCAGTGATAGTGACTGATGTATTGGCAGGAGATGGAAAGAAAGAAATCAGTCCTAGGAGAACACACTTTTCACTTTGCTTGTAACATTATGTTCAATTGAATTTTGAAAATATCTTGGATTACAAAGTTGATATAATGTTTATTTTTTTCAGTGTTAAGAATTTCCATTGATCTGTGGAATATGGTAACTGTGATTGAATGATTTGGTAATGTTGGATTAGATGTTACATGTTGCAACTGAAATACAGGTGATTACCACTGAAATTAGAATGAATGTTTACCCAGTCAGAGATTTCTTCAGCATAGAAAGCACAATTTGATATAATGGACGATGCTTACAGAACCCACAAACACATGAGCAAGAGTACACAATCAGATATGCACTGCTCACAAAAGAAGCAAGACTATATATAAAGGTGGAGTGTGTGAACATGGCACTGGTGACATTTTTTCATAGCTGTTAGAAAACAAGTAAAAATCTTGCAATGTTTTTTATGGTAATAATTATTATTGTGATAATTTCTGTCCTAAAACTCATCATTTTTTATCATATAACAGTTTTTTAAATTTTTTTACTACAGTATTATCACAATTACTTTTTTACTGTTGTGACGGATGTTTGTGCTTTATTTTTTTCTGCATTTTTGAAGATGTACAAGTGGCTTAATTTTTTTGTATTGTATGAGATATAGAAAGAATAAAGAAAACATTACATAAAATTATTAAAATCACAATTTAGTCAGATGCTGTAATGGCATCAGAAAACCAACTATAAGTGGAATTGTGGGGAGTCAGGAAAGTTTTAATAAGGCTAAATATTCAGGAATAAAAAGGTGACATGTCCCTAAATTTTGGGATCAAAGTTTTGATAATAGGAAAATGATCATATTTTAAGGTAGTTTCTTTGAGAAATATGAATTCTTTGATATCAAGCTGGCCAAACATAGTTTTGTAGTAGTAGATCTACCAAATTATTTGTGGCCAAGTATCCACATATGTATCACATAAGGTCAAGTAGTGTACTTTCATTTATTTTTTTTTTAGACCTTGGGAGATAATTGTGAGTATTCTTTCTCAAACCTTAGCAGAAAATTAAGTTTCTGTGCTATTAATATTGACAGACTCCTGATATAAAATATTAATCCCTGAAAAATAAAAGTGAACAATAATTTTAGGTTTTATTTTGCCTTCTCTTAAGGTGCTGTCACACTAGCACTTTATCCTTCAATTTTTTTACAAATTTATTTTACATAAATACATACTTTTCTTAATATAGCTCTTGATTTGAGTAAACTTGGCTGAATAAGTTGACAATGGTTTTAAGACGGAAATGATCATTATCCTCTGACTGGAATATCGACAATACGCACAGAAATTGACAAAATTTCTGGATATTGTAAAAAAAAAAATAGCAGAAAAAGTGCTAATGTGACAGCACCTTTAAGCTAATCCTCATTGGTATTCTTCAATTACTTGTATGTCATTATCTCTCATGACAAGGGATGTAGTATAAACGGACATTAATAATTTTTAAAAAGACACTTATGTTGGATAAACATAAGTAATAAAAGAATAAATTAATATGTATCAAATTCATAAAGCTTTAGCTAAGTTGGTAATCATAGTATTTTGTTGTATTGTTAATCTTTACTTCGACTTGGCAGATAAGCATCAAAAGTAATTTAGCTGGTTTCATAAATTAGATTAAATATTGTGCCAAGTCCACAATAGGCCATTTCCTAGCGTTTTGAGTCATTGTGGAATGTCGTTATGAGTTCAGTCGAGGGCTGCTTGCAGCCTTCATCAACCTCAAGGTGGTGTTTGACTCGGTGCATCATGAATCATTATGAGAAATCCTGAGACTTCGGGGAATTCCGACACGGATTATTGGTTTAATAGCAAGCCTATACACTGGTACTTAAAGTGCTGTAGTGTAGTGGCGGCCTGTCGAGCTTCTTTCCTGTTAACTCGGGAGTGAAGCAAGGCTGAGTCCTTACACCAACATTTTTCAACACTTAAATGGACTGGATAATGGGCAGAGCTATTATCCAAAGTCAGTGTAGAGCAACACTGGGCAATGCCAAGGTTACAGATGTTGACACTGCTGACAATATTGCGATTCTGTCTGAGTCTCTGGAATCTCTGGTGGCAGCTCTTGATGCATTCATCAATGAGGCGAAGACCCTGGGCTTACAAATCTCCTAGACTAAGACCAAGATCTAGGACTTTGTGGGCCTGCTAGAACCTGTTCAAGTCAATACATATATGCGACGAGGACATCACAGAGTCATAGAGAGCCTTTCATACCTAGGTAGTGCAGTCCATGTGTCTGGGCTATCAGAGCAGGAAGTCGGTAGTTTTCTGTCAGCAGAAACCACGACCTCAGTCAACAAGAGTATTTGGAGGTGCCGATACATATGCAGGACTAAGTCACGTGTCTTTAAGGCCTTGGTACTCCTAGTTTCGCTCTGTGGAAGCGAGACCTAGACACTATTCAGTTTCTTGGTGGCATGTTTCGAAGCCTTTTGTAATAAGTCCCTACGCCGGATCATGGGTTACAGTTTGCAGGACTATGGGCCAGATTCTCAAACTCGTTAAGGCGCTTCAACTTACGGCCGAGCGATCTTACATACACATACACAGCGCAAGGGACCCGCCATATTGGTGCGAGTTAAGGCCCGCTCACCCCCCCCCCACTCCCCTTATTTAGGGGGTACATATGCTTGTTCCCAACT